GGCGGAGGCGAGGACGACGCGTCGCCCCGTCCTACTCTTCCCCGAGCGCCCTGGCCTCGCCCACGGCCTCGCCCCCTCCCCTTTCCCCTCGCGGATGGCTCTGCCACCGCAGGCGCAGGGGAAGGAGGGACGCGTTGTCGAGCGGCGACCCTCGCCGCCACTATTGAAGGACCGGGATTCCCTCTCTCCATGACGGATGGAAGGGAGGAGCAGAAGCTGAAGGAAGAAGAAGATGAAAGAATGCGGGACGCCATCCCCCCCTCCCGCTCTTTATAAAGGATCGGGGTTGGGACTCGGCCGCCCCGCTCGGCCAATCAAGATACGGAAGGCGCAGGGAGCCAAGACCGACCGCCGTCCCAACCAGCGACGGCCCGGTTTCCGCATCCACCGTTTGCCACCCCAGGCGCATGGGAGACACGTGGCGGACATGTAGAACTGAGGGACGGGTGAGACGACCACTCCCCACCCTGTGATCGTGGGGAGTGGACGCCTTGAAGACCGCGCCTCAGCCTCATTCAGTAAATGGGCTGCGCCTCCACGCCTTCCTCAGTTTATGGGGAAGGCGCGAACCGCCCCTTTACTACGATGTGACGCATGCCTACGGGAACCAACCCCACGCATGCTGCCCACATCACACGCACCTCCCCACGCTGCGCCACGCGCGGGAGGTGTGGGAAGCGCAGCGCGCGAAGAATCTTACCGCGGTAAAAACCGCCCCGCCTGCCCGCGCACCGTTTTTGGGCCTAGCCCAACAACGCGTTGCGCTTATGTGTGGCCCAGGCCCGGGGGCTCGTGTCGGTGTACAAAAAGAGGGGTACACTTTTTGTGCCCCTATAACTATGCACGGGCAGTCTGAGCCACGGGCACCACCACACCAAGCAAGGCAAGGGAGGTGAGCCAGGGTAAGACCGAAGCTCAAGAGAACTATGACACCAAGGCCAAGACCACGAAGAGCAAAGGGGACGAAGCGGACTCCCCCGGCAAGATCCTTGCCGGGAGACAGTTCTAGCAGCCCCGGCAAGACCCTTGCCGCGGCGACTCGTCCCGCGCCTACGGAGCAAATCACCCTTGAGTCCACTGCCCCCAAAGGGCAAGGATTCGGGAGACATCCCCGTGGCGGCATGCAGATCTTTGTAAAGACATTCAAGATCAGATACACACTAAGGAGACGACAACCCTTGGCGGGATCCCGGCCGAGGAAGACCACAAGGCCCCCGGCAAGCGCCTTGCCGGGGATGACAGCAGGCGCCTCGGCAAGACCCTTGCCGGGGCCCCGGCAAGGCCCTTCCCGAGGACACCCACGGAGCCACCATCAGGCCCACGCCGACTAAACCTCCACCACCACATGCATGCAGCTGCCGACCCAACCAGCTGGGCAGGCACCTGCATGGCGGCATGTAGATCTTCGTGAAGACCCACCACTGCGCCACCTCAGCTGCCTGCCTGCCTACGCGGCATCTCAGGCATCGCTGGCCAGGGCGCGTGTCGACACAAGAAGGAGCGGCGACGGACGAGACAGATCTCTCCCCCGTCCCCGATAAAGCAAGGACACCTAAGCAAGACGCATTAAATGCGCCTTATCATGTAATGCGAGGGATAACCTCGCATCACTGTACCCTTTCCACCTCCTGTGTGCCACTGTGGCAACCCCTTTTTCTATAAAAGGAGGCCCAAGGCGACCAGGAGAAGGATTCGGCTTTTTGGAGCTCCTCACGCCCCATAGCTAACTCAAGAACACAGATATACAATCCACCAAAGCAGGAGTAGGGTTTTACGCATCCTCGCGGCCCGAACCTGGATAAACGAACCGTGTGCTACCTGTTAGATCCGCTCTTCTCATGACCCCGCGCCCCGCTAACCATAGGAGGGATTCTTGTGATCCCATAGGTGTTGTTTCTACCGACAAGATCCATCTATCGACAAATTATATTAGTTTGGTAGACCTTTGTCAATGGAAATACAATGGTAAGAAATCACATTAGATAGAAAAAGTAAATAAAATACAGGCTTATGTTGGATTGGCACGATATAAATCCTAATAGGATTAAGAAAGAGGTAAATTATGTCTAAATTATTAGAAAACTGAAAATACTAATAATCTACTCCTATCCTACTTTAAAATATCATAATCTTCTCCTTATTTTTTATTCATTTAGTTCTTCAATTAACTCAAAGTTCTTTCTCTTTTATTTAAAGAATTCTGCCTTTCTTAAAATATCCTAAACAAATCTTGTAGGTTGAGCACCCTTTTCACGGAAATAGAGAATAGCTGGAACATTTAAGCATGTTTGATTCTTTATCGGATCATAAAAAACTACTTTTCAAAGATCTCTTCCTTCTCTTCGAGATTGAACATCAATTGCAATGATTCGATAGACAACTTATTGGGATAGATGTAGCTAAACAATGTCCCATAGGAACATATAGGAGGTTTTCTCCTCACACGACTCGAGACAATGTTTGAATTTCTGTCGATAATAATAGAAATTAGACTATGACGTGCATTAGTTTCCTTACAAGAAAGAAATTTTACCTGACAAACTTTTAAGGCAAAATCCTTTAAAAACGAGTCGTTTTAAACTCTTTTCTTTGTCTTATTTCGAACAATTGACTTTTATTCCTTATTCTGATCCAACTTCCTTGTTGAGACAACTGAAAATAGTATTTACTTGCTCTGGAATCTGCTATCTTTGATTTGTGAAATCCTTGGGTTTAGACATTACTTCGGGAGTTCCTTTTTTTCTTTCAAAAGAGTAGCAACATACCAGTTTTTTCTTATTTCCTTCGATAAAGATTTATCTCTTCTATGGAAATCTAGTAAGGGAGATTGATTCTAATATAGTTTTATTGGACTTTCTTTTTTATTTTAACCTTCTGATTTATTTCTATACTAAGGATAGACTGACAAAGTTGGCCTAATTTAGTAGTTTTCACTAACCCTAGATTATTTCCCTTGATAAAAAATGTATGTCCTCTCGAGCTCCATCGTGTACTATGTTACTTAAACCTAGCGCAAATTTGGTTCAAAATGAATAGAACAGGCAATGTCGAGCCAAGAGAATTCTCATTACTATGGAAAATGATGGATAACAAAATCCACAATCGATCATCTCCTTCAAGTCGCACGTTGCTTTCTACCACATCATTTTAAAGGAAGTTTTACCATAATAAACATTCCTCTTTTTCAGTGCAAAGTGGTATAGAGAATTGATCCAATATGGACGAAATCATGAATAGTCATTGGTTTAGATTTTTTTATACTAATTAAAACTTGCTATCTATGGAGCAATATGGATAAAAGAAAGAAAGTATTTATCCGGGAATCCTCCGCCAAGATACAATCTATTTAAACCCATATTATAATTCTATCATATATGAATGAAACATAGTTGGAAAAAGACGACTAAACAAGTTTGCTTAAAACTTATTTCTTCTTAAATTTCCACCCTCAATGGTTGGGTCGTGATGATCAATCTTGAAGAGAGAAGAGAAGGATTGGCTCTTCCTCAATAAATAAACTACCAATCTCCAAAAAAAATTAATTAACTTAATTACTAGAACTAGGATTCTATTAGTAATATATATTTTTCAGCACCAAAAATAATTAACTATATAACTAAATAAACTGTTCCAATGAAAAGGTTGAAAGATTTTGGTAGCTATAGAATTCTCGTACTTCTTCGACTCGAATACCAAAAGGAAGGAAAATATATGGCCAAGTGATTTATAGTAGAGGCAAATCCTGAATGTGCCTCATGCATTCCATTTTTTTATGAAAATAAAGATAGTCAATTTGACTGGACTTAAGACTTTATTATGTTTTCTAAGAAAGAATAAGATATCATTATTCCTATAATAAACTTTTGTCTCATACGAAATACTATATGATTTCGCCGTTTGTTTCATCAGAAACATTCTGGGATGGAAGGATTCAAACCTCAGAGTAACGGGACCAAAACCCATCACCTTACCACTTGGCCACGTCCCATTTCGGATTTTATGCGAGACACTATTGTGTTTATGGCGACTACTACGAATCATCCTACTGATTTCCTAGCGAAATCAGTCGGGTCGCCACCCGTCTGATCCAGTTTTCTCGGCCCTTAGATACGTCAAACACTCAACGCAGGCTGACCCTTTTCTCTCACGACGCTTCCAACCAGCCCCCTGCTCGAAGCACAGCAAGTCGCCGGCGAGCATCCATCCCATCAACGAAGAGCCGAGCTCCATAGCAACACCAAAACGCCATGCCTAGCCACCAGCGAGCGCTCCGGCGGAGCTGCAATGGAGCCTACGGCGAGCGCTCCAATGCAACACCAAAAAAGCTTCCCCCGAGAGCCGCAAGCGAAGCTCCATTGCAGCTCCAGCAAAGCTCCAATGCAGCCCGGGCAGAGCTCCAATGCATCTGTGGCGGAGCTCCAACAAACCTGGCGGCGCTCCATTGCAGCCAGGGCGATGACGGCGCATGCTATGATGCAGCACGCTACAACGCAGCGCGCGAACGACGGTGCAAGCTGCTTCACCGGAGCTGCAGTGGAGCATCGGTGCAACGACGTGAGGCGACGATGGTTCGCTGTAGTGGTGTAGAGTGTGGCGTGTAGGACAGTAGGAGGCAAGCGTTGCAGCAACGCAAGCGGTGGTGGCACCGGTCTACGGCGACGGGCGATGGCGCTGCCATGGCTGCGCAGCAAGAAGAAAAGGGAGGAGAAGAATGAGCGGGTGAACACCTTCTGCGGGAAAGAGATAATCGAGCGGAAGGATAAGGTAGGGAGAGGGATAAGTGTCTCATGGGGCCCACCGGACGCGTGACGTGCGTCGGAGCTGACTAATAAAGAGCGTTGATTTTAAACAATTTCCTATGTTTATTTGTTATTATTCGTCAATACCATTTCAATTACATAAAAAGGAGGGATATTCTCTTGCTAGTATTCTGCACATGCGGATAATATAGAATATAAAAAATGCATTGATCATTACATGTAATTCTATTAGGATATTATATGAAAGTCAAATTTATTCCACTCTCATTTAAGAGCGTGAATACAAGGAGGTATTTTGTGTCTGGGAATGTCCAAAGAAAAAATATTTTGAATCTTCTTTTCCTTCTTTCCCTTAAAAAACGACTCAATAAAAATCCAATTATTGACTCTACAAGAAAGAATGAAATGCTTGTTATGCCTAATATACTTAGTTTAACATGTATATGCTATTTTCAATCGTGTCATGGATATTATATGTCTGTTATACCTCTATTCTTTTTTCTATTAGCCATTGTTTGGCAAGCTGTTGTAAGTTTTTGATGAAATCTTTAGTACTCTGTATGCCAAATTGAATGATGTGTTCATTCCAAAATAATAATTAAAAATGGGTAAAAGCCAAGAAGTTTCATATTTTTTATTATGAACCTTCTATTCTAAAATTTAAATTCTTCTACATTGAATGGTAGCTACAACAATAAATTTGGATCAGCCTTTCTACTCCCCTGCACCTAGGTTGAGCAGGTACAGGTACCTACACAATACCTAACCACCTAACCCTATTTTTACTATTGATAAGAGTGCTTATTATAAATGAATTTCTGCAAAAAAATCAAGAATTCATTTTTTGCATTTTTAGGTATAAAAAACCATCCTAGTGGATCCATGTGGTAAGGAAAAACTGGTATTCTATTCCTTAAAAAAATTGGAGATTATGTAATGCTTACTCTCAAACTTTTTTGTTTATATGGTAGTGATATTATTTGTTTCACTCTTTATCTTTGGATTCATATCTAATGACCCACGACGTAATCCTGGACGCGAGAAGTAAAAATTCAATTTTTTTTCTTATAAATTGGATTTGTTTCATACATTTATCTATGAGAAAATCCAGGGGTCAGAATTCTTTCCAATTCGAATGTCCCAAATGATCCAAGGGAGCAAAAAGAGAGGGATTGGAATCCTTGGTACAAAACAATTGTACAACGGATTAGCAATCCGCCGCTTTAGTCCACTCAGCCATCTCTCCGTGTTTCAAAGCGAAAGATTCCCGTGATATGATATAGGCAATAAATAAGAAATAATGGTTGCAAAACGCCCCCCTATTTTTTCTTTCAGAAGTCTATTAAAATTATATTGCCAATTCCATTTTAGTTATATTCTTTGTTCTTATTTCTTGCCTATATGATATCACCAAACTTAAAGCAATTAACATAGCACCAAACTTAAAGAAGTGCCCACAAGTTCTTTAATTTTAACTACACTAGCCACCTGACTTGCACCTCTAGGCAGAGACTTGAGTTGCCTGCTTGTTCACGGTTGGCTTCCATTCTGGCTACCATATGACTGCTTCTCCTGTTTCTATGCAAAAGCTACATGTTAACAGACTGGAAGGCCAAAATGGATGGCTACAAAATTGACTCCATTTATACTTCAACTGTCCACAAAACAAATTTTCTTTCTTGTCCAAACTGAAGAATAACCAGGACAGAGTTCAGTGCTCTTAGTGCACAGTTGCTACTGCCTACTGGCTGGAATGCAACTACAAACCTAGTTGCTATTTGTTTCATCAATTAACCACCAGTGAATCAAATTCTACACAATTAATAGTAAGATATAAGGCGGAACCATAGAAATAACACAATCTGATTTGTCTGAAAATTCGAACACTCCCACGGAAAATGACGAAGAATATGTTCAAGCTAGTGTTACCACAGGGAGGGAAGCACTAGTAGAAAAAGGCCCATTAGTACTGGTTCCAGAAGGCCTTTAGCTCTGGTTGGTGTTACGAACCGGGACTAAAGACCCTCCATGTGGCCGCTGACGAAATTTTATGAATTTTTTTATTTTATTTTTATTTTTTTAAATCCAATTTTTAAATTTATGAATTATTTCATAATTTAATCTCTAATCACCCCTCATCACTGCTCAATTTAACCTCTAATCTCTAATCACCCCTCATCATTCTAAATCATCTAACTTCCCTGCCGGTCACCCATCCTCTCACTACTCCAGCCTGAGCACGCTTAACTTCCGGGTTCTATTCCCCCTCGTTTCCAAGTCTGCACTTGTTGTTTTCCTGACAATAATAAGATGTCAATCCTATTAACCTCAGGAGTTTAGCTTGAGCATGAAGTCACGCGTTTCACTATTTGAGTTAGAAATATTATTCTAAAAAACAATAATTATTTAGTAACACTAATATTTCTTTAATAAGTAGTTTGACCATTGTTTGACCACAGTTTGACCAAAATTCAAAAATGAAATAATTATTTAGTAACATTAATATTTTTGAATAATTATTTAGTAACACTAATACTTCTTGAATAAGTAGTTTGACCTGATTTAATCAAAATTCAAAAATACTGAAATTTGAGCATATCTTTTTTTCCTTTAATAATTTGAGGATTCTAAAAGTTTGCAAATAGGCTGTAGGCGGTCAAAATCGGATGCGGATTTTCATGCTGAACATTTTGATATATTATACTTTTCTCCGACATCGTATGCAAAAGTTATAGCTGTTTTACTTTTTCATAACATTTTTTTGCAAAACATGTACAAATTTAAGTTTTTAATTTTCCTAACTAGTAGATGTAGTAATATAACTACGTCTCGAAGGATTTTGTTTTTTTTAAACTGAAATGGCGATACACGGAGGGGGGCGGGGGGTAGAGTTTGAAAAGTGAGCCATTTAGTACCGGTTTGAGACACGAACCAGGACTAACCCTTTAGTCCCGGTTCGTGTCTCAAACCGGGACTAAATAAAGGTCATCGCACGCTTTAGTCCCGGTTCGTATCTCAAACCGGGACTAAAGGTCTAATCTTTAGTCCCAGTTTGAGACATGAACCGGGACTAAAGGGTGCGATGCCCTTTAGTCCCGGTTCGTGTCTCAAACCGGGACTAAACCTTTAGTCCGGGTTCGTGTCTCAAACCGGGACTAAATGACCCATTTGAACCGGGACTAATGCCTTTAGCCACTCAAATCGGGACTAATGCTCACATTAGTCCCGGTTCGTAATGCAACCGAGACTAATGCATATATTGCGCTGTGACCGAAGCCCTGTTTTCTACTAGTGAAGAAGGGAAGGAGGTTTGACTAGAGATGGGATATCAAAAACAAGAAAAGTCAAATAACCTACATCGACCACAATATATAAGTCCAATTTGACATCTAAAACAACAGGGGAAAGTCATCATAATCCAAGCTAGCAAGTGCATCACGTATATATGTAGGTATTTAAGGATAATCAAATTGCGAAAGAAGATACCATTGCTCATTCTCGGTGAGAAACTTGTTCTAGCGGTAGTCTCTGTTGTGCGGGTCATCAAAATCATCATCGATACAGCAACAGGACTGGCTGCACGGGCACTACTCTCTTGTTAAGTCTGCAAAACAGTTAGGTGGGAGCAAAACCTCCTGGATAGATGGGGGCCGCGATTCGATCCACTTGACGGTGTCCTTGAACACTTGGAACCACATAGCCTTCTCTTCCTCATCGCGGTATGTCTTGTTGAACTCCTTCATCCAATTCTCGAACCTCGCCATCATGTCGTCTTCCTTCATCCAATTCTCCAACCTCGCCTTCATGTCCTGCTCTTTCTTGCAAGCAGCTGCACAAGAAGACAAGTGTGTATATATGCAGTGGCGTAGCTAGGGGGTGGCCAGGGTGGTTCATGGACCACCCTGGAAATCCCCCATAGCTTTTGTGTATAGTATAGTAAAAAAATTCTTTTAAACTAAACATAACTTGTGTAAATATTTTTATTACCGAACCACCCTAGCAAATTGGGCTGGCTACCCCACTGTATATATGCATGACCTGAGGTGGTGGTTCTTGACATGAAACCTCGGAGCAAACGAACGAATACGAGGAATCTACCTGACTCAACATCATCTGGGCCTTTCTTGAAATACTGAACTGCCCAGGTTCCAGCACCAGCAAACGCAACCGCGGCAACACCAGCAGCACCACCGATGGGCAGTTCCTTCTATACAGATCGGGATGAGAAACATGAGCTGCCGATTTGAGTAAAAGTGTAAAACAACGGGGGTAGACTCACCAAGGAGCGTGTAGGAGCCGTCATCCTTGGGATCACCCGCGGCGAGAACCTCCGTGTGAGGAGGAAACCGACGGCCCGCCGGAGGGACATGATTGCCCGCCTTCTGCCTCGCCTCGATACGATTTTAGGGTTTTGCTACCGATGGGATGGGCACGGGAGACAATTTATGTCTCGAAGGACCGGACTTCCGGTCAAAACTGGCCAACGGGCCGGCACGGCACGGCCTTAGACTGGCCTGACACGGCGCGGGCGCGTGAGTACATGCCCAGGCACGCCGGCCCATGGTACGTTGAAGCCCGCCTGGCCAGTTTTTTTAGGTCGAAAAAACCATCCAACATGAGCCGATGGCCACGAAAGTGCTCCATTTTTTTTGTTGGAACTACGGAAGTACTCCATTTGATTTCCATGCTGCTATACATTGGTACTCCTATCCGCCGCATTCTACGGCAGAATGGCGGGCTTCGCACATGCAACCCTTCGCCTGGGCCTGGCCACCAACTTGCCGCTTGTTATTTCCTAAAGCTACTAACCACGACCTTTTAGCCAATACACCAACATCAGCTGCTTGTCATAAAAGGCGCAAAATCCTATAAGAAAACACAGCAGTGGTCGAGATTTGGAAAACATTGTAAGAATATTTCTTGAAAAGTGCGAACACTTTTGAAATGCTGCAGTTATTTTATATTCCATTTTTTTCAAAAAGTGAACCATTCTTGTAATTCAGATTTTTTAAAAGGAACAATTTTAGGAAATCCCAATTTTTATAAACTGCAAAGATTTCTTCAAAAATGGAAGATTTTCTGAAAAAACAAAAGAATTACAAAAAATGCGAACATTTTTTGAAATTCCAGAATATTTTCTGAGATCACAAACAGTTTTTAGTTTTGGACCAAAATTTGGAAACAATAACCGTTAGAACAAAAATTTAAAACATGAACATTTAAAAAAACTGCAAACAAAATTTGAAACGTGGGAACATTTTTGAAATTGTGAATATTTTTCTGAAAAATTGTGAACAGATTTAAAATAAAGGAACATAATTTCTAACTCTTGAATATATTTTTTAAACATGAATAATGTTTCTGAAATTTTGAACATATTTTGAAACGAGAACATTTTTTGAAATCCCTAAACTTCTTGAAACACAAACATTTTTCAAAATTGTGAAAAAACTGAAAACAAGATATAATTTTTTTGAAATTCCTAGACTTTTTTGAAATTCCTGGACATTTTCTGAAATTTGTGAACAAATTTTGAAAAC